GTATACATCTATGGTGAAGCATTGAAAAATGCATGTCACACAGAGGTCAGAAGAGACAGACACACAATTGTTCTACTCAGCAGAACATGAATCATGGGAAATTGTGGCATGTATATGATTGACACAACTCAAGGATTAAAACTGCAGATTACATGCCTAAGTCAAGAACTGACACGTGTGTCAAATGTTAGGCCTTTAAATAATTAACAGCTTGATGGCAGCGCATCATTTACTCATCAATTCTAACCATTACAGTGGTTTAAAATCATAACTATCTGAATACTGCATACCATTATAAGGATTAGTAATCATGGTGGTATAACTATATATCATAAAATATCAATTAAAATAATTTGCAGTGGGCACAAAATAATTTACATACATCAAACTCCCCCAAATGGCAGTTAATTACCGAGAGACTTTGAAACATTCCCAGACACTTTCCTAAAGCACTTGATTAACCGATCTCATTTCAAGTTGCCAAACACTCATCATTGTTTTGATTAACTGTCATTTAGGTGGGTATTTTGTAACTGTATTGTATCTACAACGATCACTGGAGTGTCTAGGAAAGTGTCCGGGGATGTTGCGAAATCCCTCGGTAATCACCTACCAAGTGTGGAGTTAGGTGTATCTAAATATCTTGCATCTGCAGTTATAACTATGGAAAAAAAGCCAACTTCAAGTTGAGCTTCGCTTATTATTATGCTGGCAGTGTATGCGCATTCAAAGGCTGATAAAATTAAGGGTAAACAACTTCAGAGATGTGATGAACATTCCATTGAAATAATGCAACAGACTCCAAATACAAAACAAAACAAAATAGCATTTTTAATAGTTTTCCATAATTATACAAGATTTTCTTCAACAAAATTTAGTAAGTTTGAAACAGCTTTTAGAGAAGTTTTGATTTCATATATGGAATCAAAGACATCAGAAAAAATTTCTAATGTCTTTGATGGAATCTTCCTCCCAAGTAATAGAACATAAATATGTGACCCTTGACCTTATTTACCCTTTGATATATTTCACTGCATGGCGCTTTACGCTACGTCTACAAGCTGAAAGTCTAAACTGATAACTGTGTATAAACTCATACTGGTTCATAGCCATGCTTAGGTAACTTGACTAGACAGCGTCGTCTGTATTCAATCCATCTAACGAGGGATATATTCTAGATGTTTGGGTTGTATCTGGTAATGCAGTTGTCTTCAGAGGTGACGACGAATTTTGAACTGATGGAAACCTTTGATGATATCGATCTAATCTAAGGTACTTCACTGTCACTAATTTTCCTGCAAAAAAAAAGAAACTAAGCTAAACAAATAATACTTACAGATTTAAAGTAGCTGAAGCTAAATACAAATTGCTATTTATATGAACCGGTACATTGAATCATTCCACTGAATATCACTTTTTTAAATTTAACAATACTGTGAATGCATAAATTATTTTAATACTGGGTTTTAATTTTGCTATTTTTGCTGATAAGTAAACTCCGCTAAATTAAATCCATGTGAACATGGGAAATAACAATAAAACTCCTTGACAAACTCGTGAATTTAAAACACAGTGATAGATTCACCATAGAGACCAATTCTAGAAACTTGACAGAATAGAGCAGAGGATAATCAATAGAGCTCAGTTTTCCTAACATACCGGTAACATAGAATACAACACAGGTAATTAAAATATGTTATCGTTATGTATAACATATTTTTGAAACTTATAAATCAAAGAATTATACATCTTTTTTTCCTGGCTAAAATAAGACTCTTTGTGTGAACAGTTTACAATTATATCCTTATAAGTGCGTTCCAAATTGATAACGTGAAAAACCTGTTTTTTCTCAAAAGACAAATTTATTAGTTTTTTCATTCTAAGCTTTGTATCTTCAAATGAACTTTTTAAGGCCCACTTGCTTGTGCTTTTATTTTCCTGGGAAGAACAATTGCTTTTTTGTTTTTTTGCTTTGATTTAAAAAAAAACAAACAGAATAATAATATATTCACATACCATCAAACCAGCATCCATGGAGTAACTTGAATGCTTTGCCAGCAGATTGTGGAGAGTTACATTTCATGTAGACACAACCCTAAAAATAACAAAAAACCTTTTACACAGATTGCACACTGTCACTGAAACGGAGACCATCATGTTATGTTGTGGTTGTCAAAAATGAGCATTAGCAATGAAGCGCTAGTGTTACAGGGAGTTCTATTTTTTGAGTACATAAATTTTAGGATTGTAACTGAACTCAATTGTCAGATCAGGTGACAAAAACAAAATGGCCACCAGTCAGCCATTTTCAGTTGAATTAACAAAATCAAAGTGCAAGTGCACTTCAACTACCCATCATGAGATACAGCTCTGAATGAACTCACAACACGCATGGAGACAAAACCATATTTTCCTGTTTCCGTACTTCATCAATACAAGGACTAACATTTCTTACTATTTACCTCTTTAGAAGTCTTGTCTACAGCTACATGCACGATGCCGTCGTTATCTTTACATTTCTCCAATACAGCGTCATGAATTGCCAAATGCCAGTTTTCACCATGCTCCCTGCAAACAAATTGAAATTGTTATGGTAAAAGGGAAATTTTATTTCTCTGCAGGGTATTGTATTATGTAATTACAACTTCATGTACCTAAGCATTGCTCCATTTTTAATGTAAACATTTTTCTTCAGACAGTCCTTGTCTCCCAACTTTCTTTTTGCAAATTTCAACCGCAATTTCAGTGCATTTCACCACAGAAACCATATTACATAAGGCTGTGTTACCATCTTATTATCATAATTAATGCAACTCAAAATTTACTTACAATGAAGGATCAAACATATTTCTTATCTTGAGGCAGGATGTTGGACTGTATGTAGGAGTTTTCACAGCTGTTTCAAGATTTTCAAATGCTAAAAAGTACAAATAAGCACATTTAAAATGTGTAACAAAAGCAATGTTTCTCAAAAAAATCTACAAAGGCATGAACCTACTAATATGGATGTCTCCCATATAGCTATACAATTTAGAAAAAAAACTTACCTTGCCCTTGCCACTGTTTTTTAGATGGCAAATCATCCTGTATTTATATAAACAGAAACAAGAAATGATTATCAGCTATGGATGAAGCAGATGCAAGTTATTTCTGCTGAATGCCAGTGAAAGTAAAAATATTCATCCACAGAACAAATCTCATGATTGAGTTTAAAAGCCAAATGCAACTCACATCTTTTGTCGCTGATGACATGACTTGTAACCATCTCCAAACAGCAAAGTCTTCCCCTGAGATACACTGACTTTCAACTCTAACACGAGATTCGCTAGATTCCAAAAACTTTACTGCCTTGTCCCAAATCCTACCACGTGGTCGTCTGAAAAAAGGGGAATAAAATGAGTGATGCTTGGTAGCGGTTAACTGGGATCAACAGGTATTTTTGATACAATGAATCAGCAGTCTGCAAATGTACAAAAATGTCATTCACAGGGCCATGTTAGATGTTTCAAACTACTAATTAATATCAGAGGTACATTACTTGGGGTTTGCAAAGCGCATAGTACTGTATGGTGACATCATGCCAAGATCCCATTCAAGTCTCATTTCGTAGATAGCGAGACTGACGCTACGACCTTCTGACATGACATAGGCGGTTTGTAATAAAACAATAACACATGTATTACCACATTCATAGCGGAAAAATGTAATGCATCGAAAATGTACAGAAAATATAGTTATCGTAATCAGTCACATCGTCACAACAGCTATTTTGATCCACCTAGACATCCCAGTATCCTAGTTACCTCGGGCATGCGCATTCGCATTTTTCTACGTTGGAACGCTTATGCAAGAGCGAGATTGAAATGGGATCTTGGTATCATGTCACCGTAGTTGCAAACACCAAGTAATGTACCTCTGTTAATATTCATGAGTGAAGCAAAAAATCGTTTATTATAATATTTTGTCATCTGATGCAAAAAAACAAGCAAAAAATGCAAATTTTATATGCATATCTTTATGATAAAACAAAAATGATATAGTTTGAAATAATATTGAGTGCATTTACCTTTCTGATGGTTGTAACAACATATCTCTCACATGCGGTATTGCTAGGAAAGGCTGTAGGCCTCGGTCACGCCGACATGATTCATGGTGCGTTTTCAACACATCTAAAATAATAACAAAAACAATATTTCTCAAATGATCTATGACTATTTCACTTTATACCCTTTAATAAGCTGCAATAGAAACAAAGATTATGTAAAATTTAGGCTTTTAGACATATCAAGAATGTCCCAGAGTACTTTAATGCGAATTTTATGTTCAAAAAAATGTATTGTGTGATTTGTTTTTAAAGAATCATTTATTATTTCCTAATTTCTCAAAACAATGACACTCTGTAACACAATATAGTCAAACAGAATAAACACCACCAGACTGTAACTACCTATAATTTTTTCTACCATTTCATAAACCAGTCGTTGTTCCTCTTCCTCTCGTTTCCATCGGTATTTGATATAAGCACACAACCCCCACGAACAGATGATCACTAACAATAAAAATAAAAACATTGCAGATGAACTATCTTTTTTTCATAGGTCCAGGAAAGACCCGACTATGCCCAGTTGATACCACGCATCTAAATATAAAGCCTCGTCCAAGTAAACATGACATGCCATTTAAGTAAATTTAAGTGACAGTAAATTTACATGTTACATTATTAATTACAGATAAATTTTGAGACAAATTATTATCACTAGAATATGTGTGAAAATATGCCCAATAAAAATAGCATTCTACAGTAAAGCAAAATATTAATTATGAAATTAACAACAACTCACCAATAAATAACATTGTGATCCTAAAAAATAGTGAAGTGACAGATCTTTGTATACGACACCATATAGACATATGTGGATGTTCCGAATCCAACCATTCAACGTCGTCTGTGATGTTGGTAATCTGCATATTGCTATCAAATAACCTAAGAATGATATACATTTTGTACTCCCTGTTAGTTTTTATTGTACGGCCTTGATGCATGGATGCAATATTTTCAAACAATAACAAGTGAAAAGCAGGGTAGTGAAAAAAGATTTTCGCTGCTACAAAATATTAATGATTATCTTTCACTTGTGAAATTTGCCAACAGGTCTCTAGCCGAATTCTAGTGCATTATTAATAAGGTATATCACCAATAATGAAATATCGTTGTTATAAACTATTAATTCTCGCAAATACCGACTTACCGTATTCCCCAGTCTGAATGATTCAATAATATATTCAGAGAATCATTTAATACTTGATACACTTCTTCAGCAGAATGTTCACCTTGTGATTCAGCTTTCTAGAATGGAATACATGTGGGTCACATTTATTCATACATACATAGACATACATACATACTAGGTACATGCATGCTTGGTAGTTTTTCAATAGCCAACAGTTAGACCTTGTCTTCTGAAGACAATTCTCTCTCATCATCACATATCAGTGTCAAATTGCTAGCCCCAGATCACATGTACCCAAGAAAAAACAAACAGCTTCTTGGCTGATCGGCTGTTATCAATGCACATTTCAATTAAAGAATTGAAGATTTCATCGAAAAATGAACAAATCATTCTACCCGATAAGTTAAGCAGTATTCTTTGAAACTTTGACATGATCAGTCAAACAAAATTGGGGTGGGTGGGTGTGAGCAGTGGTGGCAGATTAATATAAATTGTATGTGGTTTTGGAATACTGTGAAATACTTTATTTTCGCTTGGAATTTATTTACGCTATTTTCACTGAAGGGATGTTTCAGTGAAAATAAAATCCAATGAATTTACTTTTTTTCCTATATTTTACGTTCAACTCATCAAAAATCAGTGAAAATAAACTCCACACAAAACACACAAATAGTACAACAATTACTGATGACATCACACCAACACAGTTACATTTCGATACAATCAGCAAACATACACGTAGCTATTTGTTAATAATATCATTACAGTGAACTCACCAATTTAGTGAGGGTCCAATTTCTTGCTACATCCAAAGAGATATTCTTGCTTAGTATTTCAGAACTACATTCACTCTCTCCTGCAATTAATAACAATGATCAATACAAATTTATTTAAAAATTATTTAAATGAGCATAGTACATAACATTAACATTTATGCAAATATAAAACTGCCACATCAAATAAGGCCAATGATTTATCACAATATATCACAACAGTTGAAATGAATGTTGTATACTGTGTGTATGTGAGATAGAGACTTACCATCACTACTGTTACTAGATAGAGACCATCACTTTTGTTACTAGATAGTGGCTAACCATCACTGCTGCTACTAAATAGAGACCTACCAGCATTATTATTACTAGATAGAAACTTACCATCACTACTGTTACTAGATAGAAACTTACCATCACTACTGTTACTAGATAGAAACATACCATCACTACTGTTACTAGATAGAAACTTACCATCACTACTGTTACTAGATAGAAACTTATCATCACTAATGCTACCCAAAACATACTTACCTGCTAGTATACATAGATTATCATAGAGATGATGGATAACAGATAAGGCTTTCTCGTATCTCAACTTGTTGGAACAGTCACTCTGGAAGAATAAATCATGTACATATTAAAATACATGTCTAGAAATAATAACAACCTCTATATAATACATCATGTCTTAATTATAACAGACTAATTATTATGATTGCTGATTATGACATCATAGTTGCTGAATATGATAACATGATCGCTGAATGTGACACCATGATTGCTGATTATGACACCATGTTTGCTGATTATGATTTCATAGTTGCTGATTATGACAAAATAGTTGCTGATTATGACATCATAGTTGCTGATTATGACATCATAGTTGCTAATTATGACACCATGATTGCTGATTAACATAATACACCATGATTGCTGATTATGACATCATAGTTGCATATTATGACACCATGATTGCTGATTATGACATCATAGTTGCATATTATGACATCATGATTGCTGATTATGGCATTATAGTTGCAATTAGTTTGTTTTATTGAGTAAAATTGCAACCTCTTTGGGGCTTAATTTTTAAAAGAAAACAAAACAATTGCAGTGGTATTGACCTGCTGATCAATGGTATGGCAGGTTGTCCGATACCTGTGCCAGAGATTTGGTGAATTGAATAACAATCTGACAAAGCATTGCAGCACATGGAAACACCAATATTTGATGAACTACTGTTTTGAATACCAGCATGATTATCTAAAATTCAACTTCATAATTCATATAAAATTTTACCAAAAAATACCATAACACGTGCAATCATCATTTGTATTTTAACTAACCTTATCACCAGGCAACTTGGAACATAGAAGATGATCATCTGAAAAACAAAAGCAAATTTGGCAGGAGTGGTATGAGTGTATGTGGCATAGTGACTGCTTTGTCTCGTCATACAAAACATATTCATACTCGCTGTGTTTCCAGTAGCACTTGTTTATTTAAATAAAGTACAAATGTATTTTTGACTATGATTAATGCCTTTTTTCAATGCATTTTCAATATTCATTGATATATGCCAAGTGCAAAATACTTGTATTTGTTATTTGATTACCAGGACTAGTTTTCATGCATTGTGTAAGTATTGTAACTTACCGCTTATAACCGTGTCATCATCACTGACTTCAACAGTTAGGTAAATCACACCCAATGTAAGGAAAAATATAACAACGATAACCACTAACGCAACCGAAATAACATGTCCATATTTGCTCCCAAAACTTCCACTGAGATCTTCCTGTAATAGGAATTCATGCTGTAAGGGGTTGTCGTCATCGTCATAGGCACTTGGACCACTAGAATGGTTTGAATGTTCACTTGCAACAGCAACATTATCAGACAGTTTACTGCGTCTTCTTAGAATGGGAGTACTGTTATCATCCGAATAGGCGAAGGATGTATTTGTTGCGGCATCTGCTATGTCCACTTCTTCATCGGTTTCAGAAAATCTACGTTAGACATGAAATAAACATATTATAAACAGATGATTGTGGCATTCCAAGCATGTGGCGAGATATGAATTTATTGGTTATACAGTGTTACAAGTAGTACTTCATGAGATAGTGTCATGCACACAAATAAACAGCCAGTTTAACTCTTTACCGATGAAAATTTCCACATTTTACAACATTTTTTAGAAATTACAACATAATTTTGATTTTATCTGTATCTGACATTGGTTTTTAGGTT